GGTCCTGGCAATGGAAGCCCAGCCCCAGATCAAGGACAGGACCGACACTCCCATCTCTCCTGGCTTCTTCCTCCATGGCAGAATTTCCTCTCCAGGAAGCCTCCCAGAGCATGTGTCGGGAACAGGTCTGTTTTGGCAGCCACGTGGTGCTCCAGTGAGACGGCCCTGCCTTGGCTTGGGGGGGGGGGTTCAGGCCGACATTCACAGAGGCCGACATTCACTTGCAGTTCCCTCCACCGATCCTTCCTTCACTAGAGAAGATCTGCCTTTCATGGGCCACTCGGGGAGGGGAATGGCTGGCCTGGCTAAAGCTCTCTCTCTCTCTCTCCTTGGGGTTCACTTGGCTTTATCGCTATGCTTTAGAAAGAACAGGGCAGGTCACCTCAGGTACACAGCAAGACAGGCGTTCAGATATTCACAGACACAAGTTATGCCCTCAAAATTAATGGGCTAACACCAATATCCATTTTAAACAAGGCGGAGTGAGGCTCTTTGGCCAGATTACATGGATGTATTTATGTACCTCTTTAAAGGCGGCCATCTGTTTTCGTATCCTGTTTACAAATCGCCACTGTATTACCAGGCTGAAAAGCAGAAGAAAATATTTAGCTGAAAATGCCCCAAGGAAGTGAAGGAAGGTTCTCACACCATCCAGTCCCAAAGGACAGAGACGTGTGTTGGCTACAACGCCAGGGAAGGCGGGAGGCCCGGCGGCCTCTCCTCACTTACTAGATGTACTCTTGCTTGTTCCTGTTGGTGACCACCACCTCCGATCCGCCACTCTTCAGCTCATGCTGGTGAGTCTGAACAACAACAACAACAACAGGGAGCCAAAGTGGGAGTCGGTCACGTACGTGGCCAGGCTGCGTGGAGGCACCCACGGCTCTTCCTCCAGGAGCCGACAAAGCACCTGGACCGGGCTGAGCCCCACTGCTTTAGAAGACCCCTAGAGTCAACGCCAGAAGTCTAAAAGGCTCAGAGCACGCATCTCTGTCGCAGAAATGAGCCGTGGAGCTACTTTATAACATTTTGCCCCATAAGGGTTGGCTGCTGCAGCTTTAATCCACTCCTGCAAAATCTGAGACAGATAAGAAGGCCGCCTGGACACCCAACCCCTCACCCCACAGCTGACTGATCCGTCATCCACAAATAGGAACAGTGCCAGGCCGGTTTTCCAACCGAAGAAGACACCCCCTCCTCTCCTTGAGCCCTTCAGGGCGAACAAACCTGCCCAAAAAGTTCCTCATCCACCGTGAACCGGAGGTCCAGCTCCGTGGGGTCATTTTCCAGGATCCATTTCAGGGAGCTGTAATACTCACTGTCCTGGAGGGAAACAGGGAAGGAAGGGGTGTGGATGTGTGTGTGTATGAAAAGGATGCCCCCCCCCTCTAGCATGAACAGCCGCCACTCAACCCTTGGGAGGCAAAACGGGGAGGGGGGACGGCAAGGGCTGGGTGGAAAAAGCTTAAGGATCCGAAGCCCTTCTGTACGAGACACAGGGAGACCGGGGAACAGCCTTCTGGCTGACATACCACTGATTCCATATCGTGGAGCGTAATCGGCTTCTGGAGCATCATTTTGTAAAAAGGACGAATAAAGAAACCTTAAGAGAGGAGGAGGAACAAGAAGGGTCACAAGAACTGGCCAGCCGTTGTCCCAAACCCACCAATCCTGGAGCTGGCCGGGAAGCGAACCCCTCCGCCCTCCGCGGCAGGACCTGCTCACCATCCAAGAGCTTCCCGTGATAGACGGCCATGCCGGCCACACGGCCGATGAACTTGAAGTACGAGAGGTGGTCCTCGTTGCACATGCCGGAGTTTGGGTTGATCTGCAGGGTGTAGTTGTCCCTGCAAGAGAGGAAGAGGGCCTTTCTTTCCACAAACGTCCCTCCAGAAGATGGCCAGCTATCCAGCTGAAGCCAGTGCCCGGCCGGCACCATTGGGTCCCTACGTAAGTGCCTCCCCGGGGGGGGGCACACCACATCCTGGAAGATTCCCTCCTCCCTTGCTCCCAACCTCCCTGGAGACCCTGAAGATTGCATGCGGGGTCTCTCAGGGACAACCCGGGAAATCCGCTCACTGGCTTGGGACCCCCTTTGCGGATCGAACGTCCGGGACCAGATGCTGCACTAGGTCTCCGTCTGCGCAGCACAGAATGGTCAGCAATGCAAGGACACATGGGTGGCTTCCCGTTTGGGACCATCACGACCCAAAGTGAGTTGGGGTCTTTACAGTGAAACTTCATAGCTGCATTTTGCTAAGTCGGACACCGTTTGCCAAGAGAGGACAAAAGGCGGATGGGAAACTTCCTATGAACTTAGGGCCAACCACAGGCACGCCTGAAGACCCTGGCAGCCTGCAGCCATCATCCTTCGAAGTGTGAGTGGCCAACAGTCCCAGGCTTTGCGCAAGAGGGGCAGCAGCAGCAGCCACTGGCGCAACAGGGCCGGGCTATGACTCACGTGGCGGAATATTCGAACAGTCCGTAGTAAGGATTAAACATTTCCTTGGAGAGGAAGAAGAACCACTCGCGGGCGACGCCTCCGTAGTCCAACCCCTTTTCCCCTTCAAATTCAATCCATAGTCTGGCCTTGAGATACTCTGGTTTCTTGATGGCAATGATTCTCCGGTAGGAGTCCTCAAAGATGGTGGCACGGTGCAGTTTCATTTCAAACTTATTTGGAATGTCACTCTGATGAAGAGGAACAGGAGAGCAGGAGGTTAAAGCCACAAGGCCACTGCAGCAAAGATTTGCAAACACCTTAAAATGGCATAACGCATTGGAAAAGGGGGCACAGAATGCTGCTGAGCTCAGCTGGAAGATGACACACAGGAACGTATCCCACTGTTGTTGTTTTCCAAAGACACCCCCCCCCTTGGTTAAATTCGTGCTACGGAAGGGAAGGAGCGGATCTGCACCGCACTGGAGGCGGTCTAGTGTTAGCCCGGCATCTGCACTGGCTCTTTAAAGCAGCCTTCCTACATAATGGCTGTTCTGCTAATCTGCTCACAAGTACTGTGTTTCCCTCAAAATAAGACAGGGTCTTATATTATTTTTTTCCTCCAAAAATGCATTAGGGATTATTTTCAGGGGAATGTTTTATGTTTTCATGTACAACAATCTATGTTTATTCAAATACAGTCCTGTCATCTTCTTCTGGTTGCTGCACAAGGGTGGAGGATGGGGTTTCACTTAACTGTGGCTTATTTTTGGGGTAGGGCTTATATTACGAGCATCCTGAAAAATCATACTAGGACTTATTTTCAGGTTAGGTCTTATTTTCGGGAAAACAGGGTACTACGTCTGGAAGCAGCAGGGAAAGGCGTCTGGGAGGGCAGCTGGTCAGGAAGAATGCACTGGAAATAACACAACACAATCCGCCCTCTGCTTCGAACCCCTTAAAAGCCACCTTTATTGGTTCTTCTTGTCAAAATGCACAAGCACATACGTGTGACAGACAGAGACTGTGGCCAGAATCATTTACGGCTGCTCACTCACAAGTCACGGCTTGCATTCTTTGACGTGCACACGCAAAGCAGTGGCTCATCCAGGAGCAGCAATCTGACAATGGCATTTAGTCCAGGGAGCTTGTGTTAAGAAGCCACAAGACTCTAGCCCTCAATGGAGAACAGGCAGCTATGAAGACGATCTGTGCAAGATCACTGTCCTCTTTCTCTCTCTCCCCCTCTCCAAAAACTCTTCTGACAACAGACAGTGGATGATTTTAGACGTGTTTGATGCTGCGCAAACAGAGCTGGGCAGCAAGGCCAGGTTGGCCAGCTCCTCGTGGGAGCCTTGCAACTTACTTGCTTTTTTAACTTCTTCCTGAAGAATTCATACTTTCTTTTATAGTCTCTGGAATAAGGCACAGCCTTCAAAGAAAACGAGGGAAACAGAAAAAGAATTTGAGACACTCATGAAGACAAGGTATTCCTTGTTTTATATGTACACCGCCCAGAAAGAGTGCTCTGCAGTAATGGGGCAGATGAAACAAACAAACAAACTTTTTTTAACAAACACAACACTTTGCAGAATGAAAGTCTGTGGGCATGTGAAGGTTCCTGATGCAAGGTTGTTCTGGGACAGGATGAAGGCACGAACCTCCAGCTTCCAGCAGATCCTGACAGCTCCAGCTCCCGACCAGAGGGGTGTTCGTGCTTCTCCTCTCCCTCTCCCTCCACTCATTCAAGAGCCCACCCGTCTCACTCCCTTCTCCCTTTCCCCTTCACTGGTCTAACAACTACGGCGGCTCCAAAGACTAAGAGAGGTGGTCTTACAGGTCCAGTGATGGCGAGGGTCTGCAAGCGAGGGTCCTCCCACTGAGTCTTCTTCGTGTCTGCAAACACATAATATGCATTCAGTTCTGAGACGAGCGAGGAGGGACCGACCGACAAGCGGGGGCCAGGTATGACAAGTGCTACTTACTGTGGTTTATATAGAAGGTTCGTCCGTCCGTGTGCATCCTCTCCTCCCAGCCAGGCTGAAAAACAAGGAGACAAAAGTCAGAACGAAGGGAGCTCCAGGCAGCCGCGTTTCCAGAAATGGCAAGGAAACCTCCGAGGCATCCAAAGGGAGGCTCACTCACGGGCAACGGGCCGAGATCGACAGGGTCTACAGAAGTCTTTCTCCTCACGGAAGCAGGAATTTTCAGTCTGGGGTCATCCTTGGGGGAAAGAACACATCGTCAAGGCTCTGGTTATAGCCCTGGGCACAGAAGGCCCCTCCCATGCCGGTCTTGTCCCCCCTTTCCACCGGCCACACAGGCTCCCCACGCAGGGGAAGAGGGTGCAGCTTCTTCCTTCCTCCCATTTTCAGTCCGGAAACAGCCACCCCTGCCGTCCTCAGGGAGACGCCGCTCCTGCCTGCTCTCCCTCCCCAGATCTGAAGAGAGGCGCTGGGGCAGGGCAGGGCAGGGTGGGGGGAATCTCAGAAAGCCATCCTACCCACGTGGTCGTTTTGGTGTTGTGATCGATGAAGAAGGGCCTCCCGTTCGGGGCGTGACGGATCTCCCAGCCCTTGGGGAGAAATCCCTGATCTGCTTCCGCCACCTTCGGACTCAAAGGCCGCCGCGAGGAGTCTTCGGAGGCCAGCGGTGGCCGGGCGGGAGAGCCCGAGGCCACCTCCGTGGGGGCCACCTCCGCTCCTGCCTGCAGGGGGGAGAAGAGTCACACCGGGGGCCCTGTCAGGAAGGCCCAGAGCCCCCCCCATCTTCTTCCTCCAGGTAGAAAGTGGCTTGCAAAGGAAGGCCGGCCGGGGCCCTCCCAGGACCCAGGGGAAGGGAGGCCGCGGTACCTGTCCGAGGGGTTTCTTCCAGGTGGTCGTCTGGGAATTGTGGTCGATGTAGTAAAGCCTCCCTTTCTCGTCCTTCCTCACTTCCCAGCCAGGAGGCAGCCCGGCCGACGTGGGCAGCAACTGAAAAAGTGTTTCACATCCCACCTTGAGCCAGCGGGGATTTGTCTGGCCTCCCACCAATGCCAAGTATTCAGCAAGCGGGGGCAGGGGGGGGCTCCCCAGATCCTTTGCCCATGGCCTGCTTTCCCTCCTCACGGCAAGCAGTTGCCACCCCCTCTCTGGAACTCCCAGCCTCATCTCTGCCGCCCGGGGCCCCTTTGCCCTCCCCACCACCTTTGCCCCCTGGCACCCTGACCCCGCACGGAAAGGCCGCCCAGATCCTCCCATGCTGTGACCCCTCCTTGGGTCTCTCTCTGTGTCTTCCTCCCCAACATCCTCTCCCGCCCACCCAGGAAAGACTTGCCTCTCCACTCCTCAGACTGCTTATGAACCTGTTCGTTTGTAACCTTGACTCTGGATGGACTTTCTCTCCTTAACTAGATATTGTTGTAACTGTGCTTCCTAACAGCCCTTTCATTTCATGTGTTTCTCAATGCAGAATGGCCTCTATTTTAAAATCACCCTCCGTTCCTGTTCAGTTCTGCACGCACACACGCTCCTCAACCCGCCTCCCCAGCATCCAGGTTGCAGGTCTGGAGGTGTGTATTTGGGCATCAACCAGAACACCCGGTCCTAAAGGCTCGTTACTCGAAGCCACTCCGGGCAAAGGAGGCCAGGGGGAAGCCCTTCCGGAGCATCACTCACCACGGGGAGCGCCGGCTGTTCCTCGGCTTGGAACGTCTGCAGGGCGCTGCCTCCTCCGTCTGGGTCACTCTTGAAGGAAGGAGAAGTTGAAAAAAGCCTCTGAGATGCAGGCGGGCCACTGGGGTAAGGAGTGCGTGGCCCTCCTCCCTGTGTGGTCAAACGGCAGCTCCCACCAGCCCTAGCCACACGTGGCCAGCGGGGAGGAATGGCGGGAGCTGCTCGGCCTGCCCCTCTTCTGGAGGGACTGCAGAGAAGAGAGGAGTGAGACAGGCAGTGGGGTGCGGGTGGGAGGCGGAAGGGCAGGCCCTCCTGGGCTCAGCGGCGCTGTTCCATCCCTTCCCGGTGCAGGCAGATACACACACACACAGGGACGCCCCTCTCCCACCTCCGACCTCGCTCTGCCAAGCCAAAGGGAGGGCATGTTTCCTGATCACGTCCCGCAGACATGACTTCCGGCCCGGGCTAGGGCTGGACGAGAGGGCCCTGGGGCTCCTGCTCAGTCCAACGAGCGGAAGGTGCCCAGGCCCCAGTCGATCCTCTGGGGTGAAGGAGCCACTGCCCTCCCTTCTGGACCAGCCTGGGTTGGTCCTGAGAGAGACTAGGTGGCAAAGCCATGCCCGGAGCCGTGCCGCGCATGTGGGGGGGGAGGGGATGCCCCCGCGAGCGGCCCCCTTGCTGAAGCCAGACCTTGAGGAATTCCATCCGCCTGCCTGCTTACCGCGGCGAGGACAGGCCCTGAACTCGCAGGGGTGGTCAGCCGACCGTCCAGCTCTTCGGCAAGGCCGGTCGCCCCCTCCAAGCGACCCTGCGGCCCCGTCGCCTGAGGGGCCTGGTGGCTGTAGGCAGTCGCCTCGTCTTCCGTTATGATCTCCCAGCTCTTTAATAAAACAGAAAAAAGGAAAGGCTTTCCAGCACCGGAACACCCATAACCCAACCCCCAACCCCCCCGAAGGTGCAGCCGGGGAGGCCCTCACCTCAGGGGACTCCCGGCTGTCCAGGCCCTCGGCCTCCTCGCTGATCTGATGGCGATGAGCAAAAGCCCGCAGCACCTCGAGATGGACGCTGGCGCCGCCTGCCTCAGGACCCGTATCCCTGTGCCCAGAGAGAGAGAGAGAGAGAGAGAGATTAGGAACGCCATGGAGGGCAGCCTTTACAGAGGTACCATCCAGATGAACACTTTTTGCTACCTGGGGGAAGAGCCGACACCACCACACGGTGAAGTCTGTTAACAGACGCGGGGCAAGAAATCCCATTTTCAGGCACCAGAGCAACTGGAACAACGGTGGTTGACGTGGCCTTTGAACCAGAAGGGGAAGCCTGGAAGAGCGGGCTGCTCCCAAGCCAGCATCTCCCCACCTCCCTCCTTTAACAAAGGCCGGCGTCTTCTTTGAAAATGGCAAGTGAGAAAGGAGGAAACAACAACTCAGGAAAGTCAGGATTTTGCCTTTGAGGTGCAGGCGAGAAGGCCTCTTGACGTAGGCGTCTCCATCTTGGCCACAGAGCCAAAAAGCAGGCCACAGGGGGTTGTCACCTGGGGCCCAGGTCTAACGGCGAAAGGCACCTCTGCAGCCCCCATTCCTGTGGCACAGAAAGGCCCCCCTTGCAGCCTCTGGTGTGTGTGTGTATTGGGGGGGGGCTGAGGTTCTGCCTGGCCGTTTGGGAGCTGTTTTATTTCTGGGGTATCTTGTTTATAATGGCAAGAGCTTTGCACATCTTGTGGGGGGCGGGGAAGGGAGGGCTGGTAAAAGCTGCTCTCCCAAGGTCCGGGGGGGGGAGTTGGCCCACCCCCCACATGTCCACCCCCCCGCTTATCCTGCCGGGTGCCTTTTATTCCCTGCCGCGGAAAGCAGACCGAGCGGAGGGTGGGAGCAGAGAGACCTACTCGGCCGTGGGGCGGTCCCACTGGGTCCTCCTCGAGGCGTGGTTGACGTAGTAGGTCCTGCCCAGGACGTCCTGCCGCTCTTCCCAGCCGGGGGGCAGAGAAGCCTCCGGGTCCTGCAACTGGCCGGGAGCCTCCGGCTGGTCCAAGACAATCCAGCCACCAGGCTGAAAGGAGGAAGAACAGCAAACACGCCGGGGGTGGTGGTGTCATCTCGTTACCCTCAGGCGCACACTCAGGCATGCATGCATGCACACACACGCACACACACACACACACACTGAGGGACCCCAGAAAGCCAGGCTGGTTCCAGGGGTCTCCTCACCCCTGCTTTCCTGTAAGCAGAAGCTCTTCCTGTGGCCGGGGGGGGGGGGGCGATACAACCAGGACCTTTTCAGAGCACACAGAGGTCTGGCTGTAACTGTTTCAGTCAGGTGTGTGCTTGTTTTTCAGTCTTTTATTTTTAAGGAACACCAACAATGGACTCTCAAATCGAGTCACATCATATCAACTCTCTCTGGTAAACAGAGTCCTTGGCACATGGGGTGACTCTGGGTTCATGAAGAGCTGATCTGGGGCTGCCACGGCCAGGAACAGCCTTTGCGGGATCCCTCGTTCATAAAGGTTACCTTCCGAGGGTGGCACATTGAAACCAACAGGTAAAGGGAATCTCAGCTCCGAGGACTTATCCATGACTCCTTCAAAGACCAAACGCTTACCTCCAAATCTTCTGCCTGTGCTGGGCCTTCTTCTTCAGCCCCATTGTTTTTAGGGAGGTAAGTCATTTTCAGCCTGAGATGTCCTTTCACTCTGGATTTATGGCTGCAAGGCAAAATCAACCCTAAAAGCAGAGCTGTCTTGGGACAGAACCCGGGCCTCCCGTGGGCAGGAATTTCCTTCCACAAGTAGGTTAGGGCTGCCATTCACGTGCCCAGAAAGTGGTCACCGGACGGACACAGCCCACACAAGCGGGGTGCGCGCAATACAACCAATCTTGCAACTGGCAGCTATGGGCCGCCTCTCCTGCCCTCCACCTTCCGCGGGCCTCCCGCCCATTCCAGCTGCTTCCCACCCCTCACGGCCCCCTGTCCCCCCTGCAGAGGAGGCCTGTCCCCTGCCATCCCCCAGTTTACTCAGGACCTCCTGGGGGAGGGGTTGACATCTTCGGAAAGTCCACAGAGAGACGGCCGCTCTCAGGGCTTTTATCCGCACGGCTCGGTGACGTTCTTAAAGGAGGTGAACCGAGGAGTGACGCAGGGCCTTCTCTTAGCTAAGGTGGCGGGCCAAGGGCCAAGCGGGAAAAACAGGCATAAAAAGGGGGAGGGGGAGAGAGATGGCCTCCCAAAAAGGCCACCTTTATTTCAGTGTGGGCTCCCCTGAGTTTTCCTGGACTTTGGGAGGAATATGTCTGACGAAGCAGAGAGTAATCCATAAATGTTCACGTGGAGATGGGCCCTTGTACCTCCTTCTTTTTACTGATTTGCCACCTGATGGTCGAGAAGAGCCGCTGAGCGAGTGCCCACCCTCCCCACCCTCCGAGGAGGGCTGCTCCCGCCTGCTGGCCGCCCTCCTTGGCCTCCCGCCTGCCCCCACGGCCACTGCCCCACGGATAACGGCCAAGAGGCAAGTCACGGGCGGGAGAGGGACAGGCAAGGACCCCAGCGGGATGGGAACACGAGGGTGCCTGGCTTTACTAACCTCCTGGGATGAAGGAGAAAGTCCTTAAACGTGTAGGGCCTCTCGGTCGTGGGATTCTCCGTCTGAAATGAAATGGCAGTCCTGGGTGTGGGGAGGGAGAACCACCCGACCCAACGAGCGCCCGGTCCCCACCCTGAGACGGGCCAAGGGTGCTGCCGCCCCTGCTGGCCTTCACACCCTTCCCCTCGCTTAGCAGCAGCCACACTCGCCGACAGCTGTGGCAGCGAAGGCTCCAGACGCCACCCAGGAGGGAAGGCCTGCCTGCCGAAGGAGGCAGAGAAGGCGGAGGATTCTCGCCTCCCTCTGCATTTGGCTAATGAAACCTCTTTCTCTTTTGTGACGGGCAGTTGGGAGACACCACGGCCTTGTGAACAGGTCTACACTTGGCCCTGAAATGTTTGCTAGCCTGGAGGGATAACAAGTGCAGAGGGAAACAAGTGCAGAGGGAAACACTCTCTGACCCAGAGAGCGAGGCCCCTCCATGGCTGCAGCAAACGCCTGCCAAGGGCAGGGCTGGGGCCCTAAAAACCACCTATTCGAGAAGCTGGCGGATTCTGAGTTTACACACACGGGGGTTGGGGGGGGACGCTGACTGTATTGCCCGACGGGTTTCCAAAGGGGCTTTAAACAAATACGAACCGGCAGCTGAGAGAGAGGGACGTCGACCTGGCCGAGAAAGTCGTCTCTTGTCTAGGAAGAGAGGAACAAGATTAACAAGCCCCTGACCCCCTCTCCACCACCCGGTCCCCCTTCGCCCACCGGAGGAAGACGCCGTCCACTTTCAGAGATGGCGGGAGCGAGAGAAGATCACCGGCTGCCTGGAACTAATCAGGATACTTTAGGTATAAAAGGACATTCATTCTGGATTACTGCAAGGCATGGGGGGGGAAGCTTCCCCCCCCCTTGATCCTGGTTGCAAATCAAGGAAGTGAATCCTGCCACTGGAAGGCAACCAAGAGAAAGACGCTCCTTCCGCCCCCACTCGGCCAAGGAGGAGGACCTGGGTGCAAATGAGTCACGCTCAGCAAGGAGTCGTTGTCACCGTCCGCCCCCCACCTCCCCTCAAAGAGGGTGGAAGAGAAGCCAAGCCTGTTGTCAGCCGCACTAGACGCTGTTCTAAGTCCTCCATCCAGAGCACGTTACCATAGTCTTTCGAGACTGAAGGATGCCTAATGACTAATGATGATAACTCCCAGAAGCCTTCACTCTTAGCTGTCCTGGCCAGGATTTCTGGGATTTGTAGTCCAAGAACATCTGGGCATCCAAGGTTGGGAACCATTGGATTAGAGAGTTGTGATGTAATAACAAGAGAGGAAGATATATGTGGTTTAATGCATTTCAATAGGTTTTTTTAATTTCATTTGACGATGTTTTCGCTCTACAGCGATTTCGCCGGAACGAATTAACATCGTTAACCGAGGCACCACTGTACACAGATACAGAGTTGCAGTGGTACATGCTGTGTGCATGAAATATGCTAACATAGCAGTAGGTAGCTATTTCCATGCACACGCTTGTGATGGGATTCTTCAACTTTTGGGGGCTAATGATTGTATTTAGTCTTTTAAAGGAAATCTTATGGGATTATGTCATAACATTGTTACATTACATATGTTGATTTAGTTCCTCTGCCTGTAGCTGAAGGAAACTCTGGTCAGCCGGGAACTGCTCCATAACTTCCTTGTTTGTTTGTTTTTTGTCTGTTTTTGTTTTTGAGCAATGGACCTAAAAGATCTTTTAAGTCAATTTTGTTTGTTTTTTTGTTTGTTTTTGTTTTTGAGCAACGGACCTAAAAGATCTTTTAAGTCAACACTGAGATGCACCCAAAAACAGTCATTAAAACCAAGCATGTAGTCCAGCAACACTTAATGGGTTCTTTTCACACCCTCTTATTAACTAGCTGCTACTTTGATCTGAAGACCAGACTCAAGCCATCTCTTTGCAACGGGGGTTTCTGTTCGGTGTAGAAACAAGGTTAGCCAGCCTGATAACAAAATTCTACCTGACAGATATTGGTACAGTACAACTCTTTTTTAAAAAAAATAAGACACAAGCTGGGTTGATGTTTCCCTAGCTATTCAATCTGTTTACTTGCCTATTTTTATTACCACAAGCTTGAAAACTAACTGCTTACAGAAACTGCCGTGCAGCCACCTTGCATTTCCTCCATCTATCTTGTACAGGTTACCCCTGTACGTGCCACGAAAGTCAGTATCAACACTCACAATCTACTCAACCCTTAGTACTATGAAAAAAGCAACTGTAAGGCAGGAAAAAGTCAGAAAGACAGAAAAGAAGGCAGGAAGGAAGGAAAAGAGGGGGGGGGAGAGAAGAAAAGAAAAGGAAGACACAGACATGGCAGACGATCTCTTTTCTGAGCACACCAGAAAAAAGACCGCAATATCAGAACTGAAAGCAGAAGCCAGTACTAGAAAAGCCACACTTTCTCTCTCTCCTGAGAAATAACCGTGGGCAGAAATCACACCTATTGAAATAACACCTACAGAGTCGCAAAGCGACACAGACGCAGCAGCCCCTGCCATTCAGGCTTTCACAAGCACTACCCAAAGAGAACTCAGAGTGAAAGCAACATTCAGACGGCCGGGTCACTCAAAGGGCTCCTCCGCAGGGGGACGAGGCAAACCCATTTCAGAACCACTCAAAGCACCGCTGGCCAGAGGGCATTTTTGGAAGAGGCAGACACTCACCTCCCGGGGGTCCCTCCAGGGCTGGCCAGGGGGGGGAGGCAGTGGCGGCCCAGGCCTCCCCCCTGCCCCCTGCGCTCCGCCAGGCCTCCCCTCCCTCTCGGATCCAAACCGGATGTGCAAGTGGGAGGCTCCGGCCTGAGAGCTGCATTGACAACTCGACAAAAAGGAGGGCCAGGGAGACCCCCACGAAAGGCTCCGCGGGACGCCATGGGGGTGGGGGCGCCTGCTCTGCACGGCTGCTGCTCCGCTTTCTGGGCTACCGCCGGGCCCGTCCTCCCCCCCAGCAGAGGGTCCAGGTGTGAACCTCAGGTGAGTGGAGGCTGCGACCGCTGGCCTGTCGGAAGAAGACGGCGCTTCCCGTCCTGGAGAGAAGCGAAAGGGGACGTCAGAACCTCCGCCGGGCCCTTCCTTGCGCACGGCCGGCCCGGAGCCTTCGGCGACCTGGGTCTTCTCCCACAGGGAGCCGTTCAAAGAGAGCTGCCTCACATCCCTGGCTTCGTTCAGAGGACAAGCGCTTTTAGAAAGCCGGAATCCATTCACGACAGTCAAACGGGACCCCCCCGACGCTGCCTTCCCTTCCCTTTGCACCCGCTCACCACAAGGGCCCTGAGGGGGAGGCGGCCCGCTCGGCAAGGGGAACGTGGGAGACATCGGGGGGGTCTCGGAAGGGCTGCGGGGGAAAATCACGAGGGACGAGCAACGCCGCAGGGGAACCTTGGCTCGCCTCCCTGCCGGCCCCTCGCCCACGCTCGTAACGTCTTCCGAGTCTTCCTGGGCAAAAATCTTTCCAGCTAAAGAATGCTGAGCCATCCTGCTTCGGGGAGAGGCGGAAGGGCCGTCCGTCTGTCCACCTGCAGAGCTACCAGAGGCCACACTAGCAGAGAACCCACAGCCCTCTTCAGCGGAGAAGGGGCGGGGGCCGTGCACCCCTCCGCCGGCCCTCGAACGCGGCCCCCAGTCACTCCCGGCGCTGCTAGGAGCTCCTCGCTCCCTGGTGGAGGCACCGTTGGGGGCTTTGCCAAAGGCTCCCGCAGCATTTGTCGGACGGCTGCCACGGACTAGCTGGCTGGACCAGTTGCCAATCGCAGCCCCGTTCAGGCCGGAGTCCCCGTGCGTCCTTGCCCTGACCAAAGGCGTGTGGTCGTCGGCACGCAGAGCCGCCCGGGAGCATCCCTCCTGTTCCCTCGAGGCGTGCAAGGAAATCCTGAGCACGGCGCTTTTCCTGCGGTTCCAGAACAGAAGGGACGCCTCCTGCGCTTCTTCCTGGGCTGCAGAAGGCAAGGGGGCCTGGGTGGGATCCTGCTCCACTGGGCCGGCAGCTGGGGCAGCTTTCCTGATGAGCCCAGGCCTATCTTCCGTATCAGAGTCATCTCCAAGGGCCTCCGACAAGGGATCCGTGTGGCTCCTTCGAGCAACAAAATGCAGTCTCAGCTGCCTGGCCATTTGTCCTCATTTCCACGGAGGAAGCCCAGCAGAGTCTGTCTGTCTGTCTCTCTCTCTCTCTCACGCGCACGCACTCGCACCTACTTGCTTGCGGCCTGAAAGCTTCTGGAGATCAGCCGCCCCCACCGCCGCTTCTCCTCCTCGGCGGGCCACTGGGAACAGCGCATTCCCTCGCCCAGCGCTTGATTCCTTG